CAATCTATACTGGCAATGAATAAAATATTTAGAATAAAATCACCTCTATGACTTCTTACTGTCATTAAGTTTAATAAATTTGATTTTTTGACAAATATTATTAAGCTTTTCCACTTTTAAAGTAGAAAAGTACTAAAATAATTTATATACTTAATATGCCCTCATAAAAAGGATATAGGTATATTAGTATATATTAAAAGAGCAAATAAATAAAAAAAGAAAATCATGGTAAACACAATAAATGAATTCCAAGAGAGAAGTAAACAACTATTAGAAGAAAATGAAAATTTAAAGAAGCAATTAGCAGATAAAGAGCATGTATCAGAATTTAAACAATTAAACAACAAAGAAATTAGAGAATGAGTAATTAATTGTATAAAGAGTAGTTATGGTTCTGATAGAGATGAAAAAGTGATTGATTTAATTATGCAACTTTATGTTAACCAAGAAAACTGATCCACATTTTGTAAGAGGCGAGTTACTGAATCAGCTCGCAAAGAATATATTTTCAATGCCTATCAATTTAATCATTACTACAATCTAACAAATAAGCTTTATGGAGTAAGAAATGATGCGAGAAGAAATATCTTTATCAATCTGATCAAATTAAACTCTGATGAAAGCAAAGGGTTATTTAGAAAATGAATAAGAGAAGGTAAATTAGAGAATTGTTCAACTGTGCAAAGAGTATTAGAAAATGGATATGAAAGTGATAGCATAAGCCAAGCTTGTTATTCTTACGTAGATATTAGGCATCTTTCTCTAGATAAATTAATTAGTGGTTGGAATGAACTGACTGTTAATCTTAACAAGAAAGCTGTTAAAGTAAGCGAATTAGAAGAAGAAGTTAAAGCATTAGAAACAGAGTTAGAGAAGAGCAATGACAAAATAGAAGAATTAGAAGAAAGAGTAACAATAGAACAAGAAGAGTCTATGAAAGCACTAGACAAATCCAAAGAATGAAGAGAATGACAACTAAGAGAAAAAACTGCAGGATACATTGCCAATGAAAGAAAACTTTTGGACAGAATAAAGGTTTTGGAAAATAATGTTCACTGGTTGGAGAATAAGGAGCAAATTATTAAAAAATACGAGGATAAAGAACTACCAGCCTTACCCAAAAACAAAAAGAAAAGCAAACTATTAAAACTCAAAAAATTAGTAAGCAAAGTAAAAGAAAAAACTCAAGAGAAGTTTCAAACTTTTATTGTTCAAAAGAGCAAATAATAGCATGAAGTTAGAATATAGAGTTTTAGAACTAGCAAAGGAAAGTGAGAATCAGTGTAGTTATTGCTTTATAGATTACAGTGATCCAACCCTTCTTGATTTTAACACAGCACCTGCCACTTACGAAATGGTAGCATTAGAAAAGGATGGTAGTAATGCTGACATTGCTTTTATTTGCAAGGACTGTAAGATAGATTATGATAATAATGTTCTTCCTCAATGTGAAAAATGTGATAGGTTAATGAGAAATAAGAGTTTGTGTTATTGTCACAAAATAGAGAAAAAGACAACCACACCCACCAAAAGTGAGTTAATTTCTCAATCTTTTAGTTATCATCTAGAAAAGAAAACTAGAGAACTCGAAAAAGAACTATCAACTGCTAAAGAGGATTTAAACATTGAAAGAGAAGAAATAACCAAGTTTCATGAGAAATCAGAAGAATGGAGTAAAAGACAGAAACAAGAGCTTTTGGATAGGATAAAAGAACTTGAAACTGAATTAGAAGGGATGAAAAAATTAACTCCACAAGAACTAGTAGATAAGCTAAATGCTAAGGAAGAAGAAATCAATAAATTAAAGGTTCAATTAGCTCAATTACAGCAGCAAAATGGTCAATTAACTGCTCAAATTGAAGTCAAAGAGACTAAAAGATGATCTTGATTGAAAATAAAAAAGTAACTGAG